CCTATGGCGCCAACAAAGTGTGTTATGTGTTGTGATATGGATGAGTGGTGATGATGAGTGTCTTGGGGAATGTGACTATGGGATTTATATTGGGGATTGTTCATGTTGGGTTATGATTATTGTTATGCTTTGCCTTATCTGCCTTATCTGTTGTGAACTGCATATGCTCGTTATAACTGCTGCTTGTGTCTGGCCTTATCTGTCGAGTCATTCCCGGTTTTAAAGCTAGAGTTCGTAGGATATATTCTCATGCTCAAAATGGTTTTTGTATATCTATATATATATTGCTATATGTATTGTATTTCAACGCGTTGGAGTGGGTTACCAGCATCTCTCGCTGAACAGATATATTTGGCTTTCAGGCACAGAAGAATAAGTCACTGGAGAGCGCTAGTACTCGGAACGTAGAAGTAGTTAGTCCCCTTTCGGCCTGCGTGCCATATTATGCATTTACATTATTGAGGATATTAGTTAGTTAGCCTGTGCACCTGGGTTCTCCAGCTCAGGTGTGGCATAGCACCCCGTACACTTGTATTATGTTTTGGGATTTAATGAGATAATACCTTTATTTTATAAGTTTTAAATGTCTTAAAAATCTGGGGTGTTACAACCGCCCACGTGGACGACCTCGCTGGCGAGCAACAGGCTCCACCGGATCACCCGACGAGGCAGCCTGTCCGGGATCCACGGCTGGTTCGAATGAAGCTGGTAGCGGCGGTTCTGGTGGCTCATCATTGGACACGGCAAGAATAGGTGTGCTATGACTGAGAACAGATTCCGCCCAAGGTCCAGAAAACGGAGTAGATAGATCCTGCAAAGATGTTTTCTTAGCAAAGGGGAAAACTTCTTCATCAAATCTGATATGCCTGCATGTGTAAATCTTATTAGTATGTAAGTCCATGCATCTGTACCCCCTAAAGGATTCAGGATAACCTAGGAAGACACATGGAGAAGACCTGTATGACATCTTATGACGATTATATGGTCGAAGATGAGGGTAGCATAAACACCCAAAGACACGAAGAAAAAGATAGGAAGGAGGGGATTTATGTAACAGGAGATGAGGACTGGAGTTATTTAATACAGAAGATGGCATTCTGTTAATTAAATAGACAGCAGTCTCAAAGGCAAAATCCCAAAATTTCAAAGGAACAGAGGCATGAGCTAGAAGAGCCAGACCAGTTTCAACAATGTGACGATGTTTTCGTTCAACACGACCATTCTGTTCATGTGTATAGGCACAGGATTGTCTATGTTGAATTCCTAATTGAACAAACGAAGAATGCAACTTTTTGTACTCAGCACCTAAATAAGACTGAATGGCCTTTATTTTGTAATTAAAGGACCGCTCAACAAGAGTACGAAATTTATCAAAGATGACATAAAGATCAGACTTTAATTTCATAGGGAAGAACCATGTATAACGGGAATAGTCATCCACAAAGATCACAAAATAACGGAAGCCAGAAGTAGATAAAGTGGGTGCAGGACCCCAAATGTCTGTGTAAATAAGATCTAGGACTTGAGAACTAGAGGAAGCAACACGAGGGAGGGGAAAACGGGCAGATTTGCCTAATTGACATGCATTGCATAAAGAATTATGACAATGAATATTATCACGAGACCCACTAACCAAACAAGAATGAAGTATATGGCTAAGAACACGGTTATGAGGATGACCCAGACGATTGTGCCAAGTGGAAGCCGAGGCACGAGCGGAAATAAACGCTGACGGAGACGAACTAGGTAATGAAAGTGTGTATAGTCCCCTCGAACTATTGCCCTGAAGAAGTATTTCCTTGGTATTGATATCTTTCACAACAAAAAAAGAGTGGTTAAACTCAAAAAAGACTTTATTATCGGATGCAAACTTCTGAATAGATAATAAAGAATTAGACAAACGTGGAATGTGAAGTATATCAGACAATGTAAATGATCTAGAAGGGGTATTAAAAGAGGCATGGCCAACATGACTAATAGATAAACCCATACCGTCACCGACACGTAAAGTGTCATTACCAGTGTACTTCTCCGATGTAGAAAGGGCATCGATATTTTATTCTAATCTTATTGTGGTCCATGTATTAAGTGGTCTGGACAATTAAAATCCCATTGTGATAGGTAATGTGGATAAAATATGTAACAGATCAGGGGTTTTTATTCCCCTCTCTCTGGCTTTCAATAGGGCTATTTAAGCCTACTTAATGTATTTGGTTTATGGCCATTATTGCCATAATTCCAATAATCAATATTGGAATGTAAGTTATGCAAAGAAGGCAATATAAAAAGGCATAAGCATTTTCCTATCCTATCACTGTGAAAACTAACGTGAAAGACCAGAGGGAAAAGTATTCTGAATACACTCTACAAACCTGAAGAAAGAAGTTATGAAGAAGAAAGGGCTAAAAGCTTCATCAATCTCTCATGGAACTAGGTTAGTACTTTAGCGCTTCCGATTAAAGTATTTGGTTAAATCATTCAATGCCTATTGTTATAGTTTTCATTACTTTCTTTCAAAAGAATGTGAAAGGGAGAGTATATGTTTTTAAACTAATGACAATTTTTTATAGCCTCAAAGCAGTGATGTGATTGGGAGAATTTAGTCTCACCTCAGCCTGTATTCATTTCCCTGGGAGCAGAAGTCTATATAGAGCTTCCAATGCCTGCTTTAGCCTCATTGTTAAGCAGAAAGTAGAGAAATTATCAAGAGGCAAATAGATGAAGACTTGTGTGGCCTGGTACCCCGTAATGCTAATGCTGGCCATCGATTTTGCCTTTGCAATTACTAATGTGCTTCTCAAAAAAAATTATCATTGATGGAATGAACCATTTAGTCTTCATCACTTATCGGCAGTTTAGCCCCAATTGCTTTTTTTTTTCTTTTTTTTTTTTTTTTTTTTTTTTTTTTTTTTTTTTTTTGTCAAAAGGTATGCTTGTTTTGATTCATTTTGCATAGTACTTTCAGAAATTTGATACCCACTACCACTCTATATAATCCAAAGTTCACTTATATATGAATTTTTCTGTGTGAGTAGTGAAGACATTCTATATGAGAAAAAATTAAATTAATTCAAAGAATAGTCATAATCTCAATATGCAAAAAGTACGTGCTAAAATATATATTTTTATATTTTCAACCACATTAAAAGCCCTATTTTAGAAAAAGATTACTGAACAATTAGTATCAAAACAGTTTATCACTTCATCATGAAAATTAGTATCAGAGCATGTCACATGTTTAATTCTTAAACATTTAAATATGACAATTGGTATCAACAATTGGAATTAGAGCATACCAAGCAGTCAAAAAAATCTGAGCATCCAACATAAGATAATTGTGGTAAGTATATATGTGTTTTAAAATATTAATTTAAAATTCTCATAAAATATAAATTTAATTATTAAAATACTAACTTTGCTAGCTTTTTTTTTTTTTTTTTTTTTTTTTTTTGTTACAAAAGAATATATGCTAGCCTTACAAATATCTTCTTCTATCAAATATTGGCAACAATGTTTAATGGTTACAGCATATATCCTGAAATCATCAATCTTCGCCTTGTCATTATTGTCATATTCTTCCACAAATTTTGTGTGCAGCAAGTCTATCAGCTCTTGGCTCGAAAGTGGGATATGCTCTGAGCAGCCATATTGTATTACCCAACAAATGAAGCGGAGATCATGGAATCAGAAAGTGCATGTTACGGACAAATGATATCAGAGTTTTTGATAACTTCATCATGAAAATTTGTATCAGAACATGTCATATGTTTAATTCCTAGCTAAATATTTAAATTTGACAATTGGTATAGAGCATATAATGGAATAATTTGTATCAAGATCGATTTTATATTCATATCTTTTATAACTTTATGTGAAACAAGGAAGTTGACATCGGGCCGCCGGGAGTTTCCGGCGAAAGCAGGGTTGGTCTGCAACAACTCGGTTGTGAACGGCGGATCGGAGGTTTGCTCAGACATCGAGGCGGCGGAGTTAATGAATTCGAATCCTCCACTGCTTGCGCAGGCGGCCAAGACGGCGGAGCCCGTGGGCCAAAACCCGAAGAGTGCCTGTAGAGAGAGTTTGCTACTGGAGGAACTCACTGCGGAGGAAGCGGAGAAATGATTGACAAAACAGCCGGGTGTGAAGAAGAAGGGATGCCTAGTTTCGTGCTACATACGGAAACGCTGATGGTTTTGAGGTCACCATTGTTTACGGCAAAAGCAAAAAAATAGAAAAACGATTAAGCCCCATCGGCAAATTTCACCGCTCAGTTGGTTTTGAGCAGGAAATTGTGGCAATATCGCAATGATAATATCAAAAGCTGGTGGATTTTTGTGTTTTAAAAATCCGATTATTTTTTCATACTATCATTTTGTATATTAACACTCCAATGGATTTAGGAAATGTGTTTTAATGTCATTCTTTGGCCGCTCAAGAAATGAGAAATACATATATATTTTGTTCTATGTGCTCTCTGGATTCATATATGATCAAGAACACTGGATAAAGCTGCTTGCTTCTTTGATTTCGAAGAAATTAATGAATATCCCATGAACATGCAAAATCCAGTAACTTATATACAGTGTTGTTGGAGGGGTGATGGATCTGGAGAGCCATGAACCTCTCGTTTTTATTTCCCAGTATTGGGCTAAAATATATACTTTTATATTTTCAACCACATTAAAAATCATATTTTGGAAAAGGATTACTAGACAATGAGTATCAGAACAATTTATCACTTCATCATAAAAATTAATATCAGAGCATGTCACATGTTTAATTCCTAAACTTTTAGATCTAACAATTGTTATTAGAGCATACTATGTAGATAAAAATTTTGAATATCCAACATAACATAATTGTGGTAAGTATATATGTGTTTTAAAATATTAATTTAAAATTCTCATAAAATATAAATTTAATTATTAAAATATTAACTTTGGTAGCTTTTTTTCTTTGATCACTTTTCTTTGTTATAAAATGATATATGCTTGCCTCACAAATGCCTTCGTCTATCAAATATTGGCAACAATGTTTAATGGTTACGACATATATCCTGAAATCATCAATCTTTGCCTTGTCATTATTTTCATATTCTTTCACAAACTTTGTGTGTAGCGAGTCTATCAGCTTTTGGCTCAAAAGTGGGATATGCCCTGAGCAGCCTTTTACGCTATAAATTGTGCCCATCAAGTCAGTATATTGTATTGCCCAGCAAATGAAGCGTAGATCATGGAATCAGGAGGTGCATGTTGGGGACAATTGATATCAGAGCAATTTATCACTTCATCATTAAAATTTGTATCAGAACATGTCACATGTTTAATTCTTAAATATTTAAATTTGACAATTGGTATCAGAGCATATAATAGAATAATTTGTATCAAGATCAAATTTTATAATCATCTTTTCTAACTTGTATGTGAAACTAGGAAGTTGACAAAAAACATGTCATATCATTAAAATGGAAAGAAGAGACCAACTCCTATCTAGCTGCTCTGGAAAAAAAACTTAGTCTAAACCACAAGCTGGCCCAATCTTTCTCTGTCCGTTTAATGGTCTAGATACACCCGGTTAATCTCCATTTGCTATGGAATTGTTGGTTTTGTAAAAGTTTTGGGACCTTATTACATGTTGTTTATCACTTAAAAAGGAAGATTGGCACTAAATGTAGTCATGGAGTCTATTCCAGTACAAAAACGAGATGATCCTAATTCCCAGTTCTACTGTGCTATCCAATATGATTTTTTTTTTTTAAGAATGAGGTGACAATATAGTTATGTTAACAATGTTTTTTTATTTTTTTTTATTTTTTTTATTTTTAATCTCAATAGTAATGTGTTTCATTGAGTGGTCTATTTTTTCCATTCTTTTATTTTTACGTTCTTATTGGACAATTTCCTATTTTTTTCATCTATAAAGACATCATACATGTTGAGGTAATTTCGATACTTGTGGATACGTCCTTCAGTGTAACAATAGTTATAGCTCTAACAAGAAGCATTGATATGACACTCATATTTAGAGTACATTATAGCCTTCAAATATGTATTTCTTCTGTAGTTAAATTATTGTATAGAATCCTTTGGAAGTTTATTTCGAGCAAATGTACACGGACAAACAACACTGGTGTCTTGATGCTAATTTTTCATGTTGGAATTTATTTTTTTACTTCTTGTTATCAACCTCAACCTAACTTGCTGGGGCATAAGAATTCAAAGAAAGGTCAACAACAAAGAATATCACTTGTTAGCTTCTTTGGTTGAGATATCAATGCGGTATCTTTTGTCAGCCTTCCATCTTTCGTTCCATATGAAACTTGGGAGATAAAATAAAAATAAAAATTTAATGAAGCTCACATATGAGAGCTGGGAACTGAGAAGCCTGGTATGCATATATATGATTTTATATATATGAGTTCGAAGCCTTGTATGCATATATATGATTTTATATATATGAGTTCATGAGTTGATATACATACATACATACATACATGCATGCATGCATACATGCATACATACATACATACATGCACACATACATACATGCATGCATGCATGCATACATGCATACATACATACATACATACATACATACATACATACATACATATATATATATATATATATAGACTTGCGTTCAAATGAGGACAAGTATATTATAGAGGACTGTGAGGACAATTGTAGTGTGTGCCATTAGCCTATATGTTGTGTGCATGGCCGAATGTAGTCGTGTGCCATAGTTTGTATGTCGCGTGCATACATTTGTTAATTAATAGAGCCTGGGTTCGAAACCTGATGCTTACATGTATTCTTGTGTGCCATTATGTATTAAATTGTGTGCCTGATAGTAATTTGTTGTGTGCCCATTATTTGTCCTCACAGTCCTCTATATATTGTTGTCCACATTTGATATATATATACATATATATATATATATATATATATATATATATATATATATATATATATATATATATATATATAGAGGATCATATGAGAACACTTGCTTAGGTGAGAACATGAGAACAAATCTTGTGCATCAATCTAACTAATTTTAATGGTCTAGATTAAGGATGTGCGAACGCGGATTAAATGTGTGCAAACGCGGTTAAGTTTGTGCAAATGCGATTGATCTATATTGGTTATGTGACATTGTGAGATCAAATCTTGTGCATCAATCTAATAAATGTAATGGTCTAGATTGATCTAGATTAAGTGTGTGCGAATGCGATTAAATGTGTGCGAACGCAATTAAGTGTGTACGAACGTGATTGCTCTAGATTGATCTAGACCATTAAATAATATTAGATGGATGCACACGATTTGTTCTCACGTTCTCACCTAAGTAAGTGTTCTCATTGGAACCATCATATGAGAACACTTGCTTAGGTGAGAACATGAGAACAAATCTTGTGCATCAATCTAACTAATTTTAATGGTCTAGATTAAAGATGTGCGAACGCGGATTAAATGTGTGCAAACGCGGTTAAGTTTGTGCAAATGCGATTGATCTATATTGATTATGTGACATTGTGAGATCAAATCTTGTGCATCAATCTAATAAATGTAATGGTCTAGATTGATCTAGATTAAGTGTGTGCGAATGCGATTAAATGTGTGCGAACGCAATTAAGTGTGTACGAACGCAATTGCTCTAGATTGATCTAGACCATTAAATAATATTAGATGGATGCACACGATTTGTTCTCACGTTCTCACCTAAGCAAGTGTTCTCATTGGAACCCTTCTCTCTCTCTCTCTCTCTCTCTCTCTCTCTCTCTCTCTCTCTCTCTCTCTCTGTATATATATATATATATATATATATATATATATATATATATATATATATATATATATATATATATATATATATATATATATATATATATATATATATATAGGGTTGAATGCTTCCCGTGCGGTTGTACGGTTGATTAATGTGCGTGAGGTTTGTACTCAATGTGCGTGAGTATTGTGCTTAATGTGTCTGAGATTTGCACTTAATGTGCGTGGGTGTGTAATGTTAATGTGCGTGAGTTTTGTACTTAACGTGTGTGAGTCTTGTGCCTAAGATGCGTGAGTTGTGTGCTTAATGTGCGTGAGTGTGTTCTTCATCCACTGATGTGAAAATTATGCGTATCCACTGCTGCATTTTTTTCTTGTTTTTTTGTTTCGAAGTGGTGGAGGAATGAATTGTCTTGTTTTTAACAAAAAATCAGAACAGCCATATGTGCATTTACATATATCCATCCATTCACACACAATCAGAAAAACTTCACCCACCTTCTCTTTCTGTTCTGCTTCCTTCTGAGCTCGTAATTCTGAACTCAAGTCACGCACATTAAGCACAAACTTCACGCACATTAAGCATAATACTCGGGCACATTAAGTACAAAACTCACGCACATTAAAATTACACACTCACGCACATTAAATACAAATCTCAGGCACATTAAGCACGCGACTCACGCACATTAATCTACCGCACAACCACACGGGAAGGCACAAATGCACCTGATCCCTTCCCTATATATATAGGTGCGAGGAAGGGTTTTGTGCGGTTTTGCGAAGGACAGGGCCGGTCCTATAGTTTTATAGGCCCGGGGCAAGTGAAAAAAAAGGGCCCAATACGATATTTAGAAGTTAATTTAAATTTTTGTAATTAAAGTTTAAATGTTATATACAAGTACAAAAATACCAATACCAACTAAATTGAAATAAAATTTAAAATTTTTCAACATTTTACAAATACAATACTAATTCAAAACTAATTATGACAAAAAACTTCTATGTGTTTTCCTAGATGCAAAGTCATCAATGACCTCTTCAAGACTAATATTGTCTAAGATATCATTCTCAATACATAATATTGCCAATTCATTTAATCTTTCTTGTGACATTGAAGATCTTAGATATGTTTTCAATAATTTTAATTTTGAGAAACTCCTTTCAGCAGAAGCTACAGTCACGGGTATAATCAATAAAATCCGATAAGCAATAGAAACCGTTGGGTAGCAATCTGCAACTTTGACAAACTCAAGAATCTCGATTGCTGACATCAACTTTTCTGGCAAAGTCATCTGTAACACTTTTAATTCAGAAAAAAGATCATTTGAATCAACATCCGACACATTGTTATGAGAAAAAGTAATTGCAAAATTATTACAACATTCGATTAATTCATTATTATCTAATGACTTCAATTTTTTAGAATCATACAAGAATCCAAAAATATTTTCAAATGTCTTTAATTGCTCAAATCTAGTATTCAATGAAGCAATTGTCATATCCACAACAATTAGAAAATAATTAACTTTAAAGGATTCCTCATGTGATTGCATTTCCTCTTCATGATCATTTTCGTCAAATTATTTTTTCCTAATAATACGATGTTTAATAGGAAATGTAGGATCTACGTTCATCTCACATGCAATATTTTTGGCAATATTTATACTAGAAACAAACCCTTCATTTCTATACTTCTCAAAAAAAATCTATTACACCCTTAATTTGATTTTTAGTAGTTTCAATGCACATAGATTTTGATTGCAACCTTTTACTAACCATGTTAATAACAAATAAAATTTCATACCAAATAACAATTCCAAGTAAAAATTCAAAACTATCAAGTGCACTAACCAAGCTATCCACTTCACTCTTTGACTTGACATCATCACTAGATTTAGATAATTCTAACAAAGCTAACCTTATTTGAGGAGCTTGAAATCTAATAGCTTTGACACTTTTATTCGACTCTCCCAACGTGTATTGCATAAAGATTTTACAGTTAGGTTTGAAATATTATCAAGTAAAACTTTCCATCTTTTAGGAGAACTAGAAAATAAAACATAAATGCGTTGCATAACTCCAAAAAATGAAACTGCTTTAATACAAGAATGTGCCATATCACTAACAGTAAGATTAAGACTATGACAAACACATGCCATATCTTAAATCAAGATTTGATGAGAATGCAGTACTTTCCCCTCCTGTAATTGTGTAAAATTGGATTATATTAATTCCTTATATTATGAAATATTGAACTTAAATGCAGCATGTTCTAAAATTTATTTTCCATGATGTAAATTACATCATTCAGTTTCTAAATTCTAATGTGCAATAACACAATACTAATTACACTTATGAATTATGACTTAGCACTCCACAAAACTTCCTAAATCCTAATTACAGACATTAATTTACACAGTTCAAGCATTTTTCACATTCACAAAACTTCTTAAATCTTAATTACAGCTTTAATTTATAGACTACAGTTCAAGCATTTTTCACATTCACAAAACTTCCTAAATCCTAATTAGGACTTTAATTTATAGACTACAGTTCGAGCATTTTTCACATTCACAAAACTTCCTAAATCCTAATTACAGACTACAGTTCAAGCATTTTTCACATTCACAAAACTTCCTAAATCCTAATTACAAACTTTAATTTACAGATTACTGTTCAAGCATTTTTCACAGCAATCGGCATCAAATTAGGTATTTCCTTAGGCCTTAGCTGCAGCAAGTTGAAATATAAATTACAGAGAGTTAAAGCCAGACAGTAATACGAATCTAATTACACTCAACAGATGCACCTAATTGATTGGATTCCTTACTCTACCAGATGTCAATTTTTTTTAGCAATTCTGCTAAAATTCATTCAACAAATCTAATTACAAAAGATTCAAAACCAAAATACATCTTACAAAAGATTCAAAATGATATATTAGTTGAAATTAATTAATAGAATAATAATAGCAAAAGACAAATTTATAATTAGTTGAAATTAGAATTTATAAATTACCTTTGCCCGTTTGCCGATTTGAAATTCGGTGAAGCCGTGAGCTCGTGAAGCACTGAAGTGGTGAAGGTAATTAGGTGAAGCAGCAAAGGCAGAATCGTGGAAGCGGAACTACGGTCTGCGGAGGTCAGAACTGGTGGTCTGGCGGAAGGCCCGGCGCCCCGGTGAACCGTGAACGGAGAACAAATTTGGATTTGTAGAATAGTGAAGGTGATTTAATGGATTTGCAGTTTGGTGAGTTTGCTTCTGAGGAATCTGAGCTTTTATCAATGGCTCCATTTTTACCGTTGAGAGGAAAATCAATAGCAGCGTAGGTGCAAGGCGGCGTGGGCGGTGGGCGTCTCCTCCAGTCTTCCAACTCCCCGTCTTCGTCGACTTCTTCGGCTTCTTCGCAATACGCGAACTTGGCCGAAAACATTAAAAGAATTTATATATATATATATATATATATATATATATATATATATATATATATATATATATATATATATATATATATATATATATATATATATATATATATATATACACACTATATATCTATGGCCTATGGCCCCTATTAGGGATGGGGCCCTGAGCAAGAGCCCAGCCTGCCCTTGCCCAGGACCGGGCCTGGCGAAGGACCCACCTTATGCATTAAAATGGCACAGCTTAAGTACACAAACCACACATCTTAAGCACACAAACAAAACACCTTAAGAACACAAACCATGCACCTTAAGCACACTACAAAGCACCTCAAGAACACAAACCACGCACCTAAGATTTTAAAATGGTTGACCTTAAGTTTCACACAACTGACGCACCTTAATTATACAAATCACGCACCTTAAGCAGGAAAACAACGCACCTTAAGAACAAAACCCACACACCTTAAGTTTTAACAACTACTCACATTAAGCACAAAAATCATGTACCTTAAGCACAAAACCCACGAACCTTAAGCACAAAACTCACACACCTTAAGCACAAAAATCATGCACCTTAAGCACACAAACCATGCACCTTAGATTTGACCTAGATGCAAAAATGACCAAATTGCCACCGCGTTTATTTATTTATTTATTTTTTATTTTGATAATCCTGGACGCAGGGACGGAGCCAGGAATTTTGTTGAGGGGGGGGCGAAATAGGGACGGATTCACAATTTTTTTCCAGTAAAGGCGAAACATTAAAATAAAAGAGATATTTAAAAATAAATAAAAACATTACCTAAAAAATATAGGTGTAAATATTATTGGATATGGGCGAAAAATAAAACAAATCGAAACTTTATAAAAATATTCATAACAAAATATGAAACATAATTAATTTGATAAAATAATTTGAATATATATATATATATATATATATATATATATATATATATATATATATATATATATATATATATATATATATATATATATATATATATATATATATATATATATATATATATATATATATATGTATGTATGTGTGTATCAAATATTAAAAAAAACTATTAAAACGTGATTGTGTTAAAGTCATAGGGAAGGAGCCAAAAAACTATACGATTCGAACGCCTAACCTTTATTATAACCAAATGCATGCTCTACCAACTAATCTAACTCATTTCTTATGAACAATTAACAGTTTTTATATACTAATACTTAAAAATGTACTATATATATACATATATACATACAAAAATTATATATGGGATAGGGGTAGGGGTAGGGGTGGGGTGAGGGGGGGCAGCTGACCCCCCTGCCCCCCCTTTGGCTCCGTCTATGCCTGGACGTTGATTTAAACAAAATTAATGGCTCTTCTCTCGCATTTGAACCTAATTATATATCTTGTGCATCAATCGAATTAATTTTAATGGTCTAGATTAAGTGTGTGCGAACGCGATTAAATGTGTGCGAACGCGCTTAAGTGTGTGCAAATGCGATTGATCTATATTGGTCTTGGTGACATTGTGAGATCAAATCTTGTGCATCAATCTAATAAATTTAATGTTCTAGATTGATCTAGATTGAGAGTGTGCGAATGCGATTAAATGTGTGTGAACGCGATTAAGTGTGTGCGAACGCGATTGATCTAAACTATTAAAATTTATTGGATTGATGCACACGATTTGATCTCACAATCTCACCTAAATAGGTGATCTGATAGGAACCCTCCTATATATATATATATATATATATATATATATATATATATATATATATATATATATATATAATAAGGCTCATATGCGGCAGTGGCTTTAGGTGCGGCGGTGCGGCCATATCAGCATCGTCTATTCTGCTTAATCTAACGGCAGCGACTAATTTCTGAAGATTTAAAGATTTAAGTGCGTCCTGGTAAGTGGAGGGTGTTATGGTAATTGTAGTGGTCATTTATATCGGTTGCTTGTCAGTATACACCAACAGTGTTAACAAAAGACACCAATAGTGTTAGGAAAAAGCACCACAATGAAATGCATAAATACACCAAAAAACACACAACACACCCAAAAAATACACCATATAACTCACCACCCAATGGTGTATTTCTGTACACTGTGTGATGCTTTTATTCATACCTAGTCGTGCGTTCTGGTGATGCTTATCTAATTTGTGCATGTTTTTTTGGTGTTCATTTTCTAACATGGATGGTGTATATTTGTATAACTATTAGTGCGGTCGCACTGACCGCTCGGGAAGGCACCAACACGAATTCTCAAATACACCACAGTATGGTTAGTAATGCACCAATAACGAACATAAAACACACAACACTATGATTTGATCCATTCTGGTGCCCAATGACGACTTTAACCTTGCAGTTCGCGTAGTGTGAGAACGCGCGCGAAAATATCGGAAAAGCCTTAATGAATGTGATTCATTGGATTTATCTAATCTAATGGCCTACAATTAACCACACCGCCGCACCTAAGTGCACTACCGCACTTGAACCTTCCTCTCTCTCTATATATATATATATATATATATATATATATATATATATATATATATATATATATATATATACATATATATATATATATATATATATACATACATATATATATATATATATATATATATATATATATATATATATATATATATATATATATATATATATATATATATATATATATATATATATATATATATATATATATATATGCTTTGGATCCCATGAGAACACATGCACAAGAGAAAATTAAGAACAAAATTCAGTTTTACATCTGTAAAAATTTGATGATTTTGTTCAGATTATATATATATATATATAAAAACACGGTGACATTTTCAGAATTATCATTAACTTTACTATGTAAACTTGAACAAATAATTATGCAATCTTTAACAACTAAATATGCAAATCTGGTAAATTTTATAAAATCAAATTTTAAATCTAAAGCGTAATAGTTCTATTTAATTTTTCCGTTAATACCCGCCTCCCCAGACTCCTAGTCCATTGAACAACACCAAAAAACCTAGCTGACTCCTATGGTGTCAAGTGTACCAAATCAACTGGCTCCTCTTCACGGTTTATTTCATGGATCGCATCGGCAGAGTGAAGATCCAAATGATGGGTTCTGATATTCTAAGTGAAGTTTTCATTAAGATTATTGATTTGTGTTCAGTGATGCTGAAGGTTTGTTGAGATATTTGATGATATTAATCATCTATATTAATAGTCATGTGTCTCTTGGATTTTCCATATGTCTCTTGGGTTTCCCATGTATCTCTTGGGTTTTCCATGTGTCTCTTTGTTTTCTCATTTGTATTTATTTTTCATCATCTTGTTAGCACTATATATACAAGTGCTTGTATTGAAGTTGACACAAGACTCAATATATTAGTTTTTCCTCTTCTTCTTGTTTATTTGTATTTTACATGGTATCAGTCGCCAAGGTTTATACCTGTGCATAAACTCATCAATGACTGACGACGAGCAGCCGCAGGCATTAACAGGGCTGATTAGTGGTACAGAGATTTTTGATGATCAATTGAATGGTAAATTTGATCCACGGTTGTGGATAATTGACGCAGGGGCTTCTCGTCACGTTACTGGTGATTCCACTCGAATGACTGATGCAAAAGATATATTTCATTGCCCTGTTGGTTTACCCAACGGAAAAACAGTGGTTGCAACTCGAGAAGGCTCGGTTCGATTAACAGACAAAATTGTTCTTAATCATGTCCTTTATGTTCTGTCTTTAAGTTGCAATCTTATTTCTGTTTCTCAGTTAAATGATGCTATGCATAGCAATGTCCACTTTAACTCTTATATGTGTGCTATACAGGACCAATCGAGGGAACTGATTGGAACGGGTGTTAGACTGGATGGACTTTACTACTTCAAGGGAATCGATTCAGTGCAACATCCTACAGTAAATGGTGTGACAAGTTCAGTCAATCTTTGGCATCAACGAATGGATCATCCATCTGAAAAAGTGGTAAAACTACTTTCGTATGTTGGCACTGCTGTGGGAAGTTTTAATAAAGCTTGTGAGGTTTGTTTTCGTGCTAAGCAACCTAGAGATAAGTTTCCTTTGAGTAGTAACAGAGCATCTCGAATATTTGAGAAAATACATTGTGATTTGTGGGGTCCTTACCAACATCAATCCTCTTGTGGTGCACGTTATTTCTTGACTATAATAGATGATTATTCGCGAGCAGTTTGGATTTATTTGATGATGGATAAAACTGAGGTTTTTAAAATGTTCTTGTGTTTTGTGGCTATGATTGATAGACAATTCTCTAAATCAATCAAAGTCGTTCAGAGTGACAACGGTACTGAATTCAATTGCTTGTGTGATTTTTTTTCTGATACTGGAATTCTATTTCAAACTTCCTGTGTGGGAACTCCTCAACAAAATGGTAGGGTTGAGCGGAAACATAAACATATTCTCAATGTAGCGAGAGCTTTGAGATTCCAAGCCAATTTGCCAATTTATTTTTGGGGAGAATGTGTTCTTGCGGCCACACATCTTATAAATTGGACACCAACGCCGTTGCTTGGTAACAAAACTCCTTATGAAATTCTTTTTGGTAGTCCTCTATCTTACAACACAATTCGTGTTTTTGGGTGTCTTTGCTTTGCCCACAATCAAAAAGCAAAAGGAGATAAATTTGCTAGCAAGAGTCGAAAGTGCATCTTTGTGGGATATCCATTTGGGAAAAAGGGTTGGAAGCTGTTTGATCTCGACACCAAAGAATTTTTTGTTTCCCGCGATGTGAAATTTTTTGAGGATGTTTTTCCATTTCCCCTCACAGATACGACTACCAATCCTCATGAAGAATTTGTTCACGAAGATTTTTCTGTAATTGTTGAAGAAGCCGAGCCCAGCTCCACAAACGAGCCAAACCCTCAACTTGAGCCAAGCTCCACACCCGAGCCAACCTCTCAACCGGAGTCAAACTCCATACCCGAATTCAGCTCACAACCTGAACAACACACTAGTACTCTTTCTCCAAATAACCAGGATCCGAATGTTGAGATGGGTCGGGGTATGAGAAATAAAGTTCCTCCAGTGTGGTTGCGCGACTATGTTATTAATTCTACTGTTGCTAAAAGTCCATCCTCCGTCACACCGTCTCCACAGTCACCCTCAGGTACTCCCTATCCTTTAGCACATTATATAAATTGTGACAATTTTTCTCTACCATACAGAACTTTTCTCGCAGCAATTCTTTCTGAAAAAGAACCAAAATCTTTTAAGGAGGCAATGACACATACCGGTTGGAAAGAATCTATGACAAATGAAATCCGGGTCCTCGAAGACAATCAAACTTGGACTCTTGAACATCTCCCACCTGGGAAAAAGGCTCTTGGGAGTCATTGGGTGTATCGAATCAAATATAACTCAAATGGGTCGATTGAAAGACTCAAATCAAGATTAGTGGCTCTTGGTAATCATCAGGAAGAAGGCATCGATTACACAGAAACTTTTGCTCCTGTTGCCAAAATGACAACTGTTCGTGCACTTCTTGCCATTGCAGCATCTAAAAATTGGGAACTACATCAGATGGATGTGCACAATGCTTTTTTTGCACGGTAATCTCGATGAAGAGGTGTATATGAAGCTTCCCCCGGGCTTTGAGGCATCCGATCCTAAATTAGTGTGTCGATTGCGCAAGTCCTTGTATGGATTAAAGCAGACACCGAGGTGCTGGTTTGCAAAACTTGTTACGGCCTTGAAAGGGTATGGTTTCTTACAATCCTATTCCGACTACTCTTTATTCACCTTTACTCGGGGTGGAATTCAGATAAATGTACTTGTTTATGTCGATGATCTCATCATTTCTGGGAATGATTCTGCTGCTCTTAAGACATTTAAGGCTTATCTCAGTGATTGTTTTCATATGAAAGATCTCGGCACTCTAAAGTACTTTCTGGGTATTGAGGTTGCTCGTAGCGCTTCTGTACTATTTTTGTGTCAAAGGAAATATACTCTTGATATTATTTCTAAAGCAGGATTGTTGGGGGCCAAACCGGTTAGTGTTCCTATTAAGCAAAACCACAAACTCGGCCTAGCTAGTGGCCCAATTTTCTCTAATCCTGCAGCTTATTGGGGTTTAGTTGGAAGACTTATCTACTTAGCCGTAACTCGACCAGATCTCGCATACTCTGTTCATGTGTTGTCTCAATCCATGCAAGAACCACATGATAAGCACTGGGAGGCAGCTTTGAGAGTTGTCCGTTATTTGAAAGGTACACCAGATCAAGGGATTCTCCTACGAGCAGACACTGATCTAACGCTACAGGGATGGTGTGATTCGGATTGGGCCGCGTGTCCTATTACTCGGCGATCGCTTACGGGTTGGTTGATTTTTCTCGGCCATTCTCCAATCTCGTGGAAAACAAAGAAACAAACTACTGTTTCTCGTTCTTCTGCAGAAGCAGAATACAGGTCCATGGTAGCCGTTACTTGTGAACTCAAATGATTAAAGGGCTTGTTGTTAAGTCTGGGGGTTCATCATCCCAAAACCATAAAGTTATTTTGTGACAATCAGTCAGCCCTTCATATTGCAAAGAATCCAGTCTTTCATGAACGCACAAAACACATTGAAGTGGATTGTCATTTTGTTCACGATGCAATTAAAGATGGTTTGATCTTCCCTTCCTACATTCCTACCAATTCGCAATTAGCTGACATCTTCACAAAGGCTCTTGGGCAAAGGCAATTTGAATTTCTTCTTCGCAAGTTGGGCATTTCAGATCCGCATGCTCCAACTTGAGAGGGGGGGGGGGGGGTGTTGAGATATTTGATGATATTAATCATCTATATTAATAGTCATGTGTCTCTTGGATTTTCCATATGTCTCTTGGGTTTCCCATGTATCTCTTGGGTTTTCCATGTGTCTCTTTGTTTTCTCATTTGTATTTATTTTTCATCATCTTGTTAGCACTATATATACAAGTGCTTGTATTGAAGTTGACACAAGACTCAATATATTAGTTTTTCCTCTTCTTCTTGTTTATTTGTATTCTACAAGGTTCAATATGAATAATCCAGTGCTAAAGTTTGAGCGTTTATTAATTTCACATTATAATTATATGAATGTGTGCCATCAGACAGAATTGGTTCATTGTTATGAACCCACAAAATTTCGTATGAATGTAAGCTTTTGAGAAAGCAATTCCATTTTAGGTAAGCAAAAACTTGCAATACAATAATCAAGTTATTGGCAAAGATTTGCCTTAAAACAAGTTAGATAAAGGCGGAAATTTGTGGTTGCAAAAGAAAAGAAAAACATATATTTCTTATTTAGAAATGTATTCTAACCTTGATTTTGGAGCAAATAGTTGTTGGTTTGTTGCTAAAGAAATTTCCTTCTCTATTTCTTTCTTATTTCATGAGTTGTATTCCTGTAACTTTTTCTGCTGTCTGATATTTAGAGATTATGGTTTTCTTTTGCTACTATTGAGAAAGGAAAACTTGGAAATGTAGCAATGGGTTTAGGAATTTCGAATTTTTATGAGCAAAATTCATGCCAAATTTCTTTTTGTATTATGTTTTCTTATCATATTACCACTTTATTTGACTGTTGAAAAGTTTACATATGGTAGTGCTCCTAAATGAAATATCAGTGAAATCTTATTGAGCTTTTCCCTAAGAACAATTTCTTGGATTTTTCTCCTTATTTCCCTGTTGGGGCATAAAAAGTTCCATATATCTATATTCGCTTTATTGATTATTTATGACATGATTGAACACGGTGGAACTTGCTATCTTAGTGCTTAATTATTTGTGAATTTTAGATGTATAGGGCCTTTACATACCATCAAAGCATTATACTAAATGACATTTTGTAAAGATTCAGAATTTGAGAGACCTGGCGGGTGGAGAATATCCACCACCCGCCAGTTAGACGGAAGCAAGATATGTGAGAACCAAAGAACAATAGAATATATTATATTGAAAGAGTACAATAGATTGTCTCTCTTTCTCTCTCTTCTGTACTTCTATGGACATCTATATATACTAAACTAGATACTAAATTAGTCTAGGAAACTACTAATAAGAATAGGAAAGTAAGACAACTTTCCTAATATTCAACACTTGAGATTTATTTTTGGTTGTAAATATTCGTTTCCTTTTCTTTCCTGATCTTTTGGTATTTATTTCTTTATCTTTGTATTTTTCCTTTTCTGTCATTAGCTTTCTTGGAGCAGAGGACAACCCTCTTCGTGTTCTGTGATTTCTTTCCTTAACACCCCCCCCCCCCCCCCCCCCCCCCCCCCCTCAAGTTGGAGCATGTAACAGAGAAACGCCCAACTTGGGAATAAGAGACTTTTGATTGAAGGCACCAAGGGTAAAGATCAACACGAACACCATCACAGCAACATAAGCACCCTAGGATGGATGGCTTCAAAAGAGATTGCGCTATGTCTGACCCTTCCTTGGGAATGAAGACGAAGGCACCAAGAATGGAGCATCGTGACATCGTCGTCATTGTTGCTAGCGTCCCTCTTGTCAGCGTCGACGACCTCCGTGTCTAAATCTCTAAGACTGCCTAATCTATAGAGATTCCAAATATTATATTTATATTCCATAACATTACAAATATATCACATGAGCCATAGGACTTCACATCTAGAGTCATAACCTTCGAGATCAACACCCATGTCTCGAACCACTTGATCAATCTTCAAACCACGTTGTGCCAAATCAGTCCACCGTTCAATCTGTTGCACTAACTAAGCTTCCACGAAGCCAAAAACAGGCCAAACACCACAGCGCACCTGCCACTCACACCCCACACTGTTATCAACACTGCCTAACACCATAGTGTTCCTGCCTCTCACACCACAAACCATCATTAGCGCTGCCCAACACAGTGTTTTCCTGTTTTCCTGGTGCACACAATTGGTTCATCCCGAACCAATTCTTCTTCAACTATCGGCCTCCCATAACTGCCGTGGCATATGCCAGGTCCGCATCCCTCCTAGCATCCGTGCTGCCCATCACTGCAGCACCCTGTCAATTGGTTCATCCCGAACCAATTCTTCTTCAACCATCGGCCTCCCATAACTGCCGTGGCATATGCTAGGTCCGCATCCCTCCTAGCATCCGTGCTGCCCATCACTGCAGCACCCTGGACTGATTGACATTGAACAAGCTACAACAACTCAACTCATACCAAAATATGAGACTAATCCTATGGACCCACAATAATTAACCAAACAACACAATCCACAAGATATAATATATTTGTTAATGTCTTAATTTCCTACATAAGTACATCGACCCAATCAAATTAAAGGTCAACCAAACTAAAAAATTCTAGTACGTTTCTGAGCATCCAAAGCTCCAACAATATAATATAATGGTGTGCTCAATTGTAGCGACGCCGGCCGGGATCGGAATTTCCAAGCAGAAAAGGAATATATAGGCTCTGATACCATGTTAAAATTCAGAATTTGAGAGACCTGGCGGGTGGAGAATATCCACCACCCGCCAGTAAGGCGGAAGCAAGATATGTGATAACCAAAAAACAAGATAATAGATTATATTGAAAGAATACAATAGATTGTCTCTCTTTCTCTCTCTTCTGTACTTCTATGGACCTCTATATATACTAAACTAGATACTAAATTAGTCTAGGAAACTCCTAATAAGAATAGGAAAGTAAGACAACTTTCCTAATATTCAACACTTGTGATTTATTTTTGGTTGTAAATATTCGTTTCCTTTTCTTTCCTGATCTTTTGATATTTATTTCTTTATCTTTGTATTTTTCCTTTTCTGTCATTAGCTTTCTTGGAGCAGAGGACAACCCTCTTCGTGTTCTGTGATTTCTTTCCTTAACACCCCCTCCTCAAGTTGGAGCATGTAACAGAGAAACGCCCAACTTGGGAATAAGAGACTTTTGATTGAAGGCACCAAGGGTAAAGATCAACACGAACACCATCACAGCAACATAAGCACCCTAGGATGGATGGCTTCAAAAGAGATTGCGCTATGTCTGACCCTTCCTTGGGAATGAAAACGAAGGCACCAAGAATGGAGCATCGTGACATCGTCGTCATTGTTGCTAGCGTCCCTCTTGTCAGCATCGACGACCTCCGTGTCTAAATCTCTAAGACTGCCTAATCTATAGAGATTCCAAATATTATATTTATATTCCATAACATTACAAATATATCACATGAGCCATAGGACTTCACATCTAGAGTCATAACCTTCGAGATCAACACCCATGTCTCGAACCACTTGATCAATCTTCAAACCACGTTGTGCCAAATCAGTCCATCGTTCAATCTGTTGCACTAACTAAGCTTCCACAAAGCCAAAAACAGGCCAAACACCACAGCGCACCTGCCATTTTGATGATGGTTTGCCAGTTATCAGGATAAAAATGAAGAAAAAGAGGTAGTTCTTCTTTATTGAGCATCTCATTTTACTTGTTATTTTTTTAAAATTTTTTTTTATGAGGGTTCTCTTTTACTGATAAATTGATATCACAGGAGGAACCTAGTGAAAGCCTATTAGATTGTGATAAAGATTAAGTTGAAAGTTTAGAGGAAGAATGTGTTAGAGGTGATGATGAAGAAAGTGAAGATGGCTCTTTTATCCTAGATGGATATCTGTCCGAGGATGAGTTCTGTCAAGTTGATGTTTGAGCTTGTTTTTTATGGAAGTTTTGCTTATTATGGAAGTTTTTCTTATCTTACTACTATACGTAGTTATATTAAAAAAACTCATTATTTAAAATGTCTATGTAGGGCAATAGAATATCGTGACACCTTGACGCATTGAAAAAATGTCGAAGCTTCAATAATGCTGTAATCAATATTGCAAATCCATAAAATAAAAAATTTTCAAAATAGCTACCGTTATGTTGCAACATTCATCGATCCTGTAAGTAAAATACTTATTATACATTCTTTAAATATATTAGAACTAATATAAATATACAATCCATTTCAATAGGTGGTGAGTAATACAGCATAAAAGCAGAATGCTCCGCATTTAGTGCTTTTCCCTTGAGATCTCCATCGCCATCGCGCCACCCACCATGACGGCACCTTCGGGGGCCGCCGCGCCCCCTCCCCGCACTTTTGCGGACCTTCTATCATCATCTTCTGCATCGCCTCCTCTTCTCAGACCACCGGAGAGTTTTAAAGGAATGCGGGCGGTCTCCTTTTCAGATGAGGACGTCCGTAGCTTCTCACACAAATTTCGGTTTGCACTGATCGGGAAATTTGCGAAAAGTCGACCCCCAATGGCAGAGATCAGAAAGGCCTTCGATCTAATAGGATTCGGGGGCGCATTCTCGCTGGGACTTTTGGACCAACGCCACATTTTGATGAACTTCGATCATGAGGCAGACTTCCAAAGGTGTTGGCTCCGGAAGTCATGGTTGATAAAGGGAGCCATCATGCACGTTTTTAAATGGACGCCAGATTTCATGACCGAATTTGAGTCGCCCATTGTGCCGGTTTGGATCGCCTTTGAGGGGTTGCCGGCGCACCTGCAGGACAAGCGAGCCATTTTCTCAATAGCAAACCTTATTGGTTCACATCTGAAGGTTGATAGTTCCACTTTGCTGCATAATCGACCCTCGGTGGCTAGGGTCTGCGTGGAATTGGATGTTAGCACCGATCTCACGCACCATATTTGGATAAACAATGGATCATTTGGAGGATTCACGCAGAAAGTCACTTATGAATTCGTTCCTCCCTATTGCAAGGAATGTCGTAAATTCGGCCATACTGTCACAGATTTTAGAGCAAAGACGGATAACAAAAGGCAGGAGGTGAGAAACGAACCTGGGGTAGACAATCAGCACCCAAGGCCGCTAATTGTTCCGCCACGGAAAAGATGGCGTCCAGCTGCCAACACCATCCAAGAGCCACCGCCAAGCCCGACAGGCCGACAACCGGAATCAGAAAACTCAACAACACCGCTAATCATCCCAGATATCAATCCTTCTCTGGGCATTAATATTATTGACGATCAGGGGGTTGGACACACCTCCCAGACGGAGTCCATTCCAGGTCATTTATCGGATGGTGACGAGTTACAACACGCTCGGCCTTTTTCAAAATCCCTCCTTGAGTCCTGGAAAGAAGCCAGCAAAGCCTTTGCTTCAAAACTCGGGACGAAGCAGGACAATTTCGTAGTTGTTACCAAGAAGAAGAGCAGGCCACGGAAGGATTATTCATCTCAGGTCCCGGCAGTCACCACCCGCCTAGCAGCGGGAAAAATCACCAGAGTTTCTTTCTCACATCGTTTGAAATGAATATGCTCAGTTGGAATGTCAGGGGCCTTCTCTCCTCACGGACTAGGCTCAAACGACTTCTCCGGCGTGAGCGCATTCGCTTTGCTTTAATAATTGAGCCCATGCTCACTTCAGACAGGTTATCTTCTCTGAATCAGGAACTTGGCTTCTCTAACGGATATGCATCCTTGGAAACAAAAATTTGGCTTTTTTGGTCTACTGACTTTGAGCTTGACATTATGGCCGATACTGATCAGTTTGTCTGTAGCCGTGTCCTTTACAAACCCTGGCAGTTCTCTTTCATTTATGTGGCAGTATATGGGAAGTATTCTAGGGCGGAGAGGACAAGTCTTTGGCAGCAACTATCATCTTTGCTAGAGAGCTCTGCGCCTTTTATTCTAGGAGGTGATTTTAATGTGATCTCCAGTATATCTGAGTACAGGGGCGATGCACTGCCAGACAAAAATAACATTGGGGATTTTTCCAGCTTCATCCATGATAATAATTTGCTTGATTTGCCTGTAACGGGGAGTCTGTACACCTGGCATGGGAGGCGAACCACGGGTGCAGTCTGGAAAAGGCTCGACCGTTTTCTCTTGAACTCCCATTGTCGCGATTCTTTTACTGAGGTGCAAATTCAAGTGCTCGCTCGAACGACCTCGGACCATGCTCCGCTAGTGTTTACTGCTACAAATAACAGTATGTCTTGCCCGAAACAATTTAGATTTCAGCGCATGTGGCTATCACATCCAGATTTTAAGTTGGTTGTTCGCCAAAATTGGTCTTTGCCGGCTGATGGTGGCGGCATGAGGGCCCTTGCATACAAACTGAAGCGTCTAAAAATAGCTTTGAAAGTGTGGAATAAAGAAATATTTGGAAATGTTTTTGACCGTGTGAAGGTTTTAGAGGCCGGGGTGGCAGCGGCTAAACACACTTACGCTAGCAATCCATCTGAGGAGTCGCGAGCTTCGCTCCATGCTCTCCAAGCTGATTTGCTTATGGCACTTAAACAAGAGGAGTGTTTTTGGAGGCAAAAGGCAAGGATCAAGTGGTTGCGAGAGGGCGACGCTAACACTCGATACTTCCACGCAGTGGTTAAGGATAGACATCGCCGCCAAAGAATATCCAGTGTGAAAAATTCAGGTCTTTTACTTACCACCCAGGAAGACATACAGCAGGAGGCAGTAAATTTCTATACGACCCTCTTTTCGGCCGAGGACTGTCCGGGGTCATCCGCCCTTGTGGACTGCCTCTCTTCGGGGTTGACTGATCGCGAAGCACAATCTCTCCTAGCGCCTCTCTCCCGCGAAGAGGTAAAAGAAGCGGTTTGGAAACTGGACCCGGACAGCGCAGCGGGACCGGATGGTTTTTCAGGTGTTTTTTACAGAGACTGTTGGGACCTGGTTCACGAAGATGTTTTTTGGGCAGTGCAGGATTTTTTTGTTGGTGTCCCGATTCCCCGAGCAATGGCAAGTGCACAAATAGTCCTAATCCCGAAGAAGTCAAATCCAGACTCCTTTGCTGATTACAGGCCCTATTTGCCTGTGCACTTTCATCAGTAAAGTTTTCACAAGGGTAATCTCTTCTAGTTTGGCTATCGTCCTTCCGAATTTGATTTACAAGGAGCAAGCGGGTTTTGTGCAAGGCCGCAATATTCAGGATAACATCTTATTGTCCGTGGAATTAATGCAATATCTTGACAAGAAATGCTGGGGTTTAAATGTTGTTGTTAAGTTGGATATGATGAAGGCTTTCGACAGGGTATCCTGGCCTTTTTTGCAAGCTGTCTTATTTAAACTGGGCTTCCCGGCAATGTTTGTGAATGTGGTGATGCGTAATCTGGAAGCAACGAAGCTATCAGTTTTGGTTAATGGGGTGAGTTGTGGATTCTTTCAGCCGACTAGAGGCGTCAAGCAAGGCGACCCGCTATCTCCTCTCTTATTTATTCTGGCCTCGGAGGCTCTATCGCGCTCCCTAATTTTAAAGATGGGAGTAGGGTCGTTGTCTCCTTATGCCACGCACCTAGACTGCCCCGTAATAACCCACCTTGCTTTTGCCGACGACATAGTCATTTTTGTCAATGGCTCATCGGCCTCCCTAAAGGCCCTTGCAGATGTTCTTGATCTTTATCAGCAAGGATCAGGACAAAAAATTAATTTCCATAAGAGCTTTTTTGTTACTTCCAGGAGATGCCCAACTGCTAGGGGCAGTAATATGTCGAGAATTTTGGGAATGCAACAATCCTCGTTGCCGTTCCGATATCTTGGTGTCAGCCTTTTTAAAGGAAGGAATCGGCCTCTCTATTATCAGCATCTCTTTGAAAAGGTCGACACGCGTCTCCAGAGCTGGCAGAGAAAGCTGTTATCGCCGGGAGGCCAGCTAATTTTGATTCGTCATATTTTGTCTTCAATCCCGTTGTTTACTATTGCGTCGGTTCTCTTGCCTAGACAGACAGAACGCTCTCTTGAAACAAAATTTGCAAATTTCTTCTGGGGAGTGGACAATGGTAAGCCAAAGCAGCACTGGGCTTCCTGGAGGAAGCTATGTTATCCCGAAGATGAGGGGGGCCTAGGAATTCGTTCAATCGACACAATCCAGAAGGCTGCCTCCGCGAAGCTGTTGTTCAATTTGCTTCGAGGGGGGTCTTTGTGGTGTGATTTTCTAGAGTCCTTGTACCTTAATCGTCCTAGTTTGGCTCCCTCACTCACTTGGAAGAGGATGCAGCAGGCACATGACTTTGTGGATATTAACGTTGTTTACAAAGGTGATTTGGTGGTCTGGTCGCTGGCTCCTTATGGTGATTTTACTACTGCATCGGCATATGAAGCCCTCAGGCCGAAGGCAGGCAGAAGCTTATCGGCGCGCTGCATTTGGGGAGATGGGGTGCCCTCAGAAATCTCAATCTTCATGTGGCGGCTCCTACGCCAATTTTTGCCTTTCCCAGATGTCATTCAAAATTTTGGTGTTTGCCTTCCTTCCATCTGTCCTCTTTGTTCAAATGCCTCAGCGGATCTTAGTCACTGTTTGCTCGCCTGCCCAGTTGCCCAGCAGGTTTGGAGACACTTTCGCAATCTTTTTGGTTTGGGAAATCCTACTGCTGATTCAATAAGAGTTGAATGTCATTCTTGGTGGCTGTTTGCGGTTTCGGGATCGGCGACGGCTTGGTGCGCAAACTTAATACCGAGCCTTGCACTATGGACCTTATGGTGTTCTTACAACCAGGGCCTTCATGATGGCCGAGCTCCACCTGCAGTAGAAATCGTTAGGCGTGTTAAACGCGACTTGCTGGCTATCTCCACCACCCGTAAGCTTAAGTGATCAAGTTTGAGCGACGATCCTCTTCTGGCGATGGGTCTGGTGGCGCATTTTACGCCTCCGCCGAGACTTCTTTCGATATGGGTTAAATGGTTGACCCCGCCTGCCGGCCGATTAAAGCTTAACACTGATGCGGCTTTCACGACGGATCTTATGCCGGTGGGGCGTGCTTACGGGACTCTTGGGGCATTCTTCAAATTAGCTTATGCTTCCGCCTTGATGCTGCCTCGGCTTTGGAAGCTGAGACTGTCTCGCTGCGTTTAGCTTTGCAATGGTGTGAGGCGTTTGCTAAATACCCGTTCATGGTTGAAGTGGACTCGCTGGCCCTCGCCCCTTTAGTGTTGGGGGAGCAAACAAGGATTCCATGGAGGATAAAAGACGAGATTCTTTCTATTCGATCTAGCCTTGCTACTTGGGGCTCCACGATAGGACATGTCTATCGGGAAGCCAACCAGGTGGCAGATGCTTTAGCGACAGCTGGTTTGAGTTTTCCATCTTCCAGAATTTTTTATGACACTAGTTCTTTGCCCGAAAAGGCCAGGTTAGCAGTTTTGTATGATCAAAGGGGCTTTGCCTCTCATCGGGCTGTTCGCCGGCAATAAAGTCTGTTTTCGTTTTAAAAAAAAAAAATACAATCCATTTCAATTTATAGACTCAACCTGTTTGGATAAAGGGCAAAATTAGCAACTTTGACACAAAAACACTTGGTATATAAGATTTAGCCACTGTTTATAAAATGTTTATGCATAAACTAACAAACTATTTAACTAATTGCATTGGGGTGAAAACACAACAGTGGGTACTCCAAAGTTAGTATCAATTCAATAAACAAATTTAACAAAAAACACATACACACACACAAAATAAGTATGTGTCAATTTAGTACCTTAACTATACAATTTTTGTCAATTTTTGTCACTCCGGCCAAATTTTGCCAAAATACATAATCCTTCGTTTAGTCTATAATTTAAGGGGCAAAATCATTTTTTGATCCTTTCTCCTAATTTTGAAAATGTGGTTCAACGAGAATTGACCAGCTTCGACGTAGCTATGAAAGATGATGATTGACTACGCCGGAAGCCATGGAAAATCGTCTTGTTTTTTGTGAGGTTGGTTTAGTAGTGTACAGTTTTTTGGAATGCTAGTTGTGTCGCCTTTGAGGAGCACGACGACGATTTTGCCTACTAAACCAACCTCACAAAAATTGAGGAGCATGAGTGACCGAAATTGATAAAAATTGTATAGTTAAGATTTTAAATTGATACTTTTAAAAGTTAGGGATTGAAATTAACACGACCCCTATAATCGTATGATCAAAATTGAAATTTCTTTATAACATTTGTTATGAATTCATAAAAATTTTACATTTTAGCTAAAGAGATTTACTCGTGTCAGTTGAAATGGTTTCACACAAGATATTTATTTATTTATTTTATAAATATTTGTACGATGTTCTTTGCAATTCATGTTCTTATTTTCTTATCAAACCGGCACTAGATGTTTGTAACAAACGATTGCAAATACTTAGTACCGATCATGCACGTTCTCAGATCACCATTAATATCATATCGCGAATCATTAATTGAAATATCCAACAAAACTTACGTCATTCAGTAAACTCATAACATTATTATTCAAAATACTATTTAATTTAGGATTGAATAATATAATCTTGATAGAACATATAGAATAATAAAGTCGATTTTTTTACAACTAATTTATTTTATTGTATTACTGACTATATTATTTTTGTATCGCGAATCATTTGCATTTAGAGTACAGTGTGTATTACATATTTACATGTTGAATTTATTGTAACAACTTACATGAAATAAAATGAGGTTTTAATCGTTTTCTGGACGATCTTTATTGAGTAATTCACAATTAGGGGTGACCACGGTTCCGGTTCCGATTCCGTGGATGGCGAAATCGGAACCGGAACCTTAAAGTAAGGCTCCGATTCCGATCCGGTTCAGAACCGGCGGTTCCGGTTGGAACCACCTGTTCTAATCAAAATTATAAAAAAAAAAATTAAAAAAACACTATAATATTTATTTTTTTTTCGGTTTGGAACCGGAACCGCCGGTTCCGGTTCCAAGATTTCACAAACCTTAACCGGAACCTATAAGGTTCCGGTTAAGAATCGAAACCGTACGAACGGTTCCGGTCTGCACAGTCACGGTTCCGGTTCGAACCGAACCATCGTCATCTCTATTCACAATTCCAATATGTTCTGCAATTAATTAAAATACTTGGTAATTGCTCATTCATGGGAACAGACTACTCAAGATAATCTTTTAGTGTCACATTAATGCAATCTTCTGCTCTTCTTTCTGCCTCCCTTGCAATATCTTCAACTGGGCAACTGGTGGGCTTGCATTCTTTGCTACCACTACTCATTATGAAATTTCCGACCACCTGAAAGTGATCTTAAATCAAGTCGAAAGCCTTGTTTTGACCACTTTTGATATGCAGAAAATCTTTAATTTGTTGCTATTTCTAACCACTTTTTGATTTCAACTTGATTTAAGATCACTTTTAGGTGGTCGGAAATTCCATAATTTCCAGTAGTGCGCTACTATAGCAACATATTTATAACTCATTATTGATTATTTCTAATCCACAAATTTCTAATTCAGTGTGTCCTTTAATTTTGAGATGTCAAATTCTTTGCATGAAAGTTTGTGTTTATATATGTGGGCCGGGTATGTATGTTGAAGGGAAGTTCTATTTACACCACCCATTTTGCTATTTACACCCCCCCTATTTAATAGGTGTAATAGCTTTATAGGGGGTGCAAATAAAAAAGTGCTTTTTGCACCACCTCATTAAATGTAGTCAAACATTAATCTTTATTTTTTATTTTTTATTTAATAATCAATCTCTTATTATTATTATTATTATTATTATTATTATTATTATTATTAGTGACCAATTTATTATTATTAATTACACATCATAAATGAGGTTTGACCAAGTGGTGCAAATAGCAAAATGAACCCCTATTTAGCTATTTACACCACCTATTAATTATTAAAAGTTTCCACCTTTTTATAACTTCAAAATACTTTATACCTACTTTTGGTCAAAGGGTGGTGCAAATAGCAACACCCATGTTGAATTCAATTAATCAAGTAATTAATAATTAATATAAATGTTGTTGCTATTAATTAGTGGTATTTAATAAACAATTCAAAGACCTCATTATTAATTATATATCTGATCTATTCTTGATTTGGCCCTGTCAACTGAGCTATTAAATCACAGTGATTTACATTCTCCCAATTACTTTTTTAGGCTGTGGTGTGGGGCCCTTAGGATTAATGATTCAACCTTTTGGGAGAAAAAAAAAAAAAAAGAAACATAAGTTTTATTGTTGTTATTTTACGGATGACAGATGAAGAAACAACTTTAAATTTGGGTAGGACAGTAGATTTACATTTACTATCATAAATGTTTTTTCAACATCCACTTTACATTAAATATATATATATATATATATATATATATATATATATATATATATATATATATATACACGCACACAAAAAATGTAGTTTCAACTTAATACTTGGTGAAAACACATGGTAAAGAAGATTAAGTAAAGCTTGTTCTTATAGCAAAGATAAGTAATTAATACAAATATATATTAAAGATTAGATAAATATGTTCACACCATATGTTTAATTAGTACCAATACTCAAATATATATAAATAACGTAACATTCATAATTCAAATGACATTTCATGTCCACTTCTTCTTAATTTTGATGCTATAGTCTGAGCAATTTTTTCTTTCAGTCGATTGGTTAATAATTTCCACTGCCGATCGATCATAAAATCAATTAGCGAATACTTAAGGATAAGTCTACAAAGTGTGATACTATTGCAATGAATTGGAAGAAAGAAGAAAAGCTAGGAAGATTCTCTTGATCTATTCTTTTGCACTCTTTGTTGCTTGTGAACTCTTTTATACTATTGTAATGAATTCTATACATAGTTCTCAGATTCTTTAATATATTTATATTTGAATTTTATAACTTGTGTTGTAATTGTGTTTTCTATTGTCGATGCTAGTATTGTAGTATCTATATGGCTTGAACTCACAATCTTCCAAATGGAAGTCTAACCCGGATACCATTGGACCACATAATCCTGGTGTCGATGCTAGTAGTTAATTGGTCATAATTACTCATTTCATAGCTATCTTTATGTTTTAACGGGAGTTAGGGTATATAATTAAGAGCACCCACAATTGCACTTAACTATTGCACCTTGGGAGATGATATATTTGTTAAGGAGTTAACTCTTGATTTTTGCACAACGGGAGATGACTCTTAGTTGAGAATTTATTATGATTACTTGTTCTTACACATTAGGTGTTTATATCACGGGAGTGAATATTCACTTGCATTGTATTGTTTTAGGTTGGAGATTACGGGAGTAACTCTTCTCCTTGTTTGTATTCTCATATTTGTTTAAACCCAGATTTAAATGAAACCTTGAATAAAATATACAACTTTTATATGTTGCCAATATGAATTGCGGTGGAATTATTATTATAAATTTTAATAGCAAATGAAATGAGAAATAGCTACCATACTAGAATATGTCATAAAATAGTGGAGGCACAATTATATATTGAGGTAATACCCAAAATCGTCCTCGACTATAGTGGTTTTTCTCAATTTCGTCCTAAACGACTTTGGTGACCTAATATCGTCCCAGACTTTTGTGTTTCGCTCAATTTAGTCATCCATTTGTTATTCCGTCAAATTGGTGTTAAATTAAGGGACAATTCAGTAATGTCAATATTGATCTCTCTTTACTTTCAACTTGTGAAGTGCGAAATTCCTCTTTCTTGTACGAATTACACCCATATTTACTCTCGGACCTGCAAATCAAATTTTATATTCGCAGTTTTAGGAGTAATTCTGGAGTAATTCGTAAAACAAAAAGGGATTTCGCAGTTCACATGTCTATAAGTAAAGAGATGCCAATATTAAAATTACTGAATTGTCTATTTATTTAACACCAAATGGACAGAATAACAAATGAGGGACTAAATTGAGCAAAAATACAAAAATCTGGGACTAAATTGAGCGAAACACAAAAGTCTGGGACGATATTAGGTCACCAAAGTCGTTTAGGACGAAATTGAGAAAAACCACTATAGTCGAGGACGATTTTGGGTATTAACTCATTATATATTAGCCTAACATAGATATATCAACTATAACATTTGTAATTAATAATAAATACATAATAATTAGATGGCCAGCCCATCCCTACTGCAATTTTGGAAATTAACAAAGAGAGAGGGGATGGCCGAATCAATTATTCCATTCTTTAACGGAAAGCAGTGTCCATCATAATTCAAATAACATTTCGATCATGTCCACTTCTTCTTAATTACGATGCTATAGTCTGAGCAATTTTTTCCTTCAGTGGATTGATCAATAATTTGCACTGCCGATCGATCATAGAACCAATCAGCGAATACCTGAGGATAAGTCTACAAAGTATGATAGATCAATATGCATGCATATATGATGAAATTATAATTTTATTTTAATACACTAAAACATATTAGCAAATGAGTACCTTGTTTCCATATATACGTAGCGGCAGTGCAGCAATCCAAGAGAACACCGTGATATCGTGGGTGATGCAGTTTGTTACCCAAATTCCTCGAAAGGAGGGATCACTCATTGGTAACGCATGAATTAATCCCAATCTTAGAGCTGAAATGGGCCAGTTAAACAATTATTTATAAATTAATTGTGCAATATAATCAAGTCTTTAATGTGTACATATTTACAGTAGGGTGGGATTTGTATGCATTACTACTTTCAAACAATGAATTTATATAAATAAAATAATTCAAAAAAAATTAAATGAATACTAAAATTCAAACGAAATATATTTTTGTTCTTTAAATCCTTAAATTCACTAACCTTCAATTATTGAAGCCATTTCAGCCAAAGTGCAGTTTTTGCCCAGAAGGCAAGTCACATGGACAGGTGACAAATTGTAGCTAATCTAAAATATATGAAAATAAGGTGAATTAGTAAGCTAATGATTTCAAAATATAATAAGCAACCAACAAAATAGATAAGACATAAATATATAAGTGACAAACAAAATAAATATTTTTGTTAGGGAATAGGCCGGATTATAGTACCTCAAAGAAAATTAACCAATTATCAACACCCTCTCCTTCACCCTCGTCAAAGAAGTAGGCAGAAGGGCTCCCATCCAAGCACACTAAATTATTCATATTCAAATATATTATAATCTTAACTGCTAGACCACCAAGATCGATCAGGTAAACTTCTATTCTTTTGAACTTAATTGGTTCTCATGTATGTATCTCTTTCTTAGCTTTTTACATGCAAATAAATATAATGTTTAATTTCATTATATTATCTTTTTTCCCTTAGATTTTTCCTCTTCATTCTACTTTGTTTATAATTTGTAGGATGGAATTATCATGTAAATCCTTGTTGTTTTGGGTGATGCAACTGATGATTTGGTTAAGCTTAGCTTTAGCTTGCTTAGATGTCTATCCTCCTCCAAAAATTTCCAGAACTCTTCTCTCAACCGCTAATGGAGCTAGTAAAAATTTTCATTTCTCTTATTTCTCCAACTATGTATGGTAGGATCGGAAAAATAAGAGAAATGAAAATTTTTACTAGTTCCATTAGCGGTTGAGAGAAGAGTTCTAGAAATTTTTGGAGGAGGATAGACATCTGAACAAGCTAAAGCTAAGCTCAACCAAATCATCAGTTGCATCACCCAAAACAACAAGGATTTACATGATAATTCTATCCTACAAATTATAGACAAAGTAGAATGAAGAGCAAAAATCTAAGGGAAAAAAGATAATATAACGAAATTAAACATTATATTTATTTGCATGTAAAAAGCTAAGAAAGAGATACATGAGAACCAATTAAGTTCAAAAGAATAGAATTTTACCTGATCGTTTGAGTACTATACGTGATTGAAGAAATTAATCTAATACTTCAAGGACTCGAACTATATGTGATTGAAGAAATTAATCTAATAATTCAAGGACAAGCAAAGAGAGAGATCAGAGAGAGAGACGTTGCTGGATGAGTATGAAAATTAAAGATGAGAGGATTATTTGAGATATATTTATAGAGAATGAAAGATGGAATGTTGATGCATGGTAGGTAGCATAACCTAACAATTCGAGGACAATAATGTGGATGGATGATAACAATAAATATAATGTTTAGACCGTCAATCCCTATCTTAGGTTAGCCTTTAAATTATTATTATTATTATTATTATTATTATTATTATTATTATTATTATTATTATTATTATTATTATTATTATTATTATTATTACTATTATTACTATTATTACTATTATTACTATTATTACTATTATTATTATTATTATTATTATTATTATTATTATTATTATTATCATCATCATCATCATCATCTAAGAAACTATTTTCAATCCCAAACTTTACGTTGTTATTTCAAGGGTCATGATCCCGAACAATTTTAAGGCTTTTTACCTATCTGATTCAACCATTAAAAGGGTGTATGATAGGATGGAATTGTATTTTCATTCCTACCAAATTCCGTGAAATTTACAATTTCATTGTTTGGTTGGAGACAATTGCAATCCCTAGGTCCCCTTGAAATTTTATATCATTTTTCATTTTCAATCTCCAGTAATTCTATTTTTGCTTACAAAGTAATAAAATTTGAATTCTTACCTTATTTTTTTACCACGAAATTACAATTCCTACCCAAAGTAATATATGTTGGGTAGTGCTCTAAAAATGGTTTGTTTGTATTTTGACCACTACGGTTTAAAAATGTCATTTTCGATATGTCAAGAAATGATAAGCAATAACTTTGGCGTGTAACAAGTTACAATTGCAAATCAAGTACTATTGCATAGCTAAGTACTTCACACACGTATTAACCAATGGAGTAAAAGAATAATTTGTTTATTTATTTTGGATAAAAGGAAATCTGCAAACTAGATGAGTTGCTGGGCATGAAAAGAGGATTGTTTTACATATTTATATAGAATGAAAGTGGCGTGTTGATGGATGGTAACGTAACCTAACAATTCAAGCACAACGTGGATGGATAGCAATAAATTTTTAGACAATGATGTATGAATTCATTATGACACCTCCCCGTAAAAAGTATATATAGACACATTCACATATTCCAAATCAAATACTTCGATTTTTTAACATTATAAAAATTTTAATTCGCAATAATTATAAAATGAACCTCGTTCTTAAAAGTTTTTAATAATTATAATATTGATCCGTGTTTATTACTAAAATCCTTAATGATTGATGACCGCTGATGGACGGCTGAGATCAGCCCTTACTTTGTTCTCATTAGATCTTGCTTATATATATATACGACCTCGTTCGTATGATGAGAACAAATCCCTATATAAGAACTGTGGACAAATTCACACTATCGCACGTGCATTGCACGCGCATTGCACGGTAATTGGGTAATATTCGTTGTTATAATTTCTATTTGTATATCAATTCAAATATTTTCAAAGTATTATAACAAATTCATTCCATGCAACGCACGGGTGAAAATACTAGTATAGATTAAAAAGAATACCCCTCATAATAGGCTAATACTTCAAGAGAAAATGAATAAGGTATAAACTATAAAGTATCCACAATTTTGGGAAAAGCGTCAAATTGCCCCCTAAGTCGATCGAATAGTGTAATTGGACCCTGTAACTAAAAAAAAAAAAGTTTCATTCAAATTCCTAAACCTGTAAAATTGTTCAATTAAGTACAAAGTAACTTATTTAGCGGGTTAACTCTTCCCATGTTTGCCACGTGTCTTATTTAAATAGTTTTGATTTTTATTTTTTTATAAATAATTTTGGACTTATTTGAACAATTTCACAAGTTTAGGGGATCTGAATGGAGCTTTCTTTTTAATTATAGGAACAAATTGCACTATTTAGTCGACTTAGGAGGGCAAATTTGACTCTTTTTCCATTAATTTTAATTCTATTCCCATAATAATAATAATAATAATAATAATAATAATAATAATAATAATAATAATAATAATAATAATAATAATAATAATTAATTTCACTATTGGTCTCACGAATTTTGAAGTCTTATCACTTTTAATTTGATGCACTACTTTAAATTTGTTTCAATTTTGGTGCCTAACTTTGTTATTTTTAGCAGTTTTGGTATTTCTGGCCAAATTGATGGTGAAATGTTATTGACTTTTACATTTTTAAGGGTAAAATCAACATCCCAAGGAAATAAGAGTTTTAATATATTCAAACTCTTTTGATATTATTTAATTACACAAATTAGATGCTATCAATATTATTCAAAATATATTTAAATATTTTAATCAAAAAAATTATTTTTATCAAAATTTCAATGCCTACAAAACTATATAATGGTAGGTTGAACTTATAAGAAAAATATTAAGCTCCTTTAAAAAAAAATAATGAGTACCACATGTCCACATCATATAATGAAGCTTAGTAAATATCCCTCTCCCATATTAAATTAAATAAATAAATAAAGGAAAATAAATTGAAAATAACTAATAATTAATACCCTCATTAATAGCAAACCTTTATATGATATAGAGTAGTAGTATATAAATGTAGGTAATAGACTTATAGGGTAGAAAATAATGGCGTATGGAAAAAGTAAATGAGAGATTTTAATGCATTTCATATCACTTTCATTCTTGTTTAAATTATTTATCTAGATAAGGAATTTAATATTCAAAGAGTACGTAATTAAGTTATGAATCTTACTTTCAAAAAAAAAAAAAAAAAGGTTATGAAATCTTAATTTTAAATTTGTAAAACGAGATTTGTCTTACAAATTAGATTTATCGTCTTTTGAATTTATTTATTATAAACGAATTTTATCTTTTTAATTTATATATAGTTTTTTGTTTAGTTGAACCTGAATATTTTATTAATAATATGTAGATTGAGAAGATATTTATAATGATATAATGGCCTACAAAAAGAATAAAATAATTGAGATATTTTAATGCACTTTGTAGTTCATATTGCCTTTAATTTATTGTGGTTTAAAATAAAATATGGTAATGTCCTAATATATAATGGTCTAAAAGCTACTCCCCTATATAGTAGAATAGAATTGCCAATTGGTAGAAATTATTCTTCCCAAACTATCCCCAAAGTGCATTAAGCTACTCCGATCGTTATACCCCGCACCACGGTGCACATAGCACTGTGTGCTCTGCGCCTATCAAAATGACGTCGTTTTGGGAGGCACGGTAGGAAGTTGACGTGATTATATGTATTTGTTTATATAATTATGTGTATTTTGTATACAGTTATGTGCATTTATTTATATAATTATGTGTATTTTTTATACAGTTATTTGAAACGATGTCGTTTTGCATCAGGACGCACAATGCAATGCACACCCTGGTGCACGATATAAATTGCCAAGCTACTCCCTATATACTAAAGTAATTGGTAGACATTATTTTTCCAAAAGGTTGAACCCCAACTAATTAGTAGACATTATTGAAAAAGTAATTGGTGGATTTTACTCAAATTCTTGTCACATCATCACATATTCTTAAACTTGTTACTGATAAACTAGTTGATATAATAATATTCATTATATTCCGTTTAATTTTATATTTTTATGTGTCTAATTCGATTAACGATACTTAAGTTATTTTAATTTAATTTTTCATAAGGTTAACTTTAGTGTGTGAATATATATACATAGACAGATAGAGAGGGGGGAGGGATGTTATATTAAAATACTATTAAACACAAAAATATTCAAATTTAAAAATAATTTAAAAATACAAATAAATAAATAAAAAATTGATTTAATCAATGAATAATAAATAACTAAATATGATAGGTAATGAACAAATGAAGTAATTAATGGCTTCATTAAATTATGAATGGAATTTCTAGTGATTTCTTTAATTTTTACTTTTAATTTTCAACATGTCACATGACATTAGGTCTTGTGACCCAGACTTTGCCAGTTTTTATTTATTTATTTTTTAGAGATTGGAAAGTAGATGTTTTTAATTTTTGGGCATGTTCACTAATGCAAGATAAAACGTCTTTCATTAGGTCGATCTTGTGATCATTAATGTATTCATATTTGCCCCCTCTCAGTTATGTTAAAATTGGTGATTTTTCACCCTTTTATATTAGATAGACATTTTACTCTTAAAAATAAGTATTTCATTTATTTTTTTATCCAACAAATTATTATTTATATGTAGGGATGAGTACGGTTTGATTTGAACATAACTCGACACTGTAACAACAATCGAATCAAAATAGTAGGGACGGATTTGGTTACAATTTAGAACCGGAATAAAATAAAATAATTGTTGAATTTAGACTATTTTAAAAATAAGAAATAGAATTTAAAATAAATAAATAAATAAATAAAATAAATTTTGAATCTGTAGTTTAAAATCGACACCGGAACCCAACCGAACCTATTTATCATTTACCAATAGTGTTTGATCATTTTTACATTTATTCTAATTCCACATATAAGTAGATATGATTGCGGTTCGATTCCAGTTCACAGTTATGGAAAATGATAAATAGTAACGGAAACCTTTTAGGAAGGTTTCAATTTTGGTTTGAACCGCCAGTTCGGTTCCATTTCACGGTTCTTGGAAATGATAAATTGTAACAGGAACCTTTTAGCAAGGTTCCAATTTTGATTTGAACTGCCGGTTCAAAATTTATTTATTTACTAGTTTTTTACGCGCATTGCGGGATTGGCCGGGATAATGCCCAATATTTTTTTAAAATAAATACTTTAGAGTATATCAAGGCAAGATTATATTGGAATTGTTCATGCATAGATAATTGAATGTTGAATTTGCATCTTTAAA